TTAAACCCTAGTTTGTAATTTTTGACAGCAAACCAAGTCTCTCGCTTGCTTCAGGAAAACTGACTGGTTTTAGTACCTGGCATTATTTTGTAGGTACTCTCTTCATAACAAGTCACCAGTCCTCTTGACCATGACTTACAGATTTTTGTGCCAGATTTGACTTCATCATTTTTGGTTTGAGTCAGGTAGTAGTACTAATGATGAAGTTACTGTTAGCTCAGTTTTAATTTATGACAAACTATCTTGGAATCAGGAATAAGATGGTATATTGAGATGACAAAGGGCAAAAGCAACTAAATCATATTACTTGAGCTAATATATGTGTTTTTGTCATACATCATAATTCTTCAATTTATTGCTTCTCAGTTAGTCCATAACTCAGAAAATTAAAAACACCATAGACAAGTAAAATTTTATGAAATGTTTAAAATGTATTTTTTTTCTGATAATGGTAATCAATGTGAACAACAGTTAGTAATTATTTTATAATTTTACTTATTTTGTTGACATGTTTGGAAAAAGGGAAGAGCTTGAGTCAAAACACTTCACTACATTTATTTTTAAATTCACCTCATCTTTCTTTATGTAACACCTTACAAGAAAAGAATTTCTACTTGCCTGATTTGACCTTTGTAAGAAATCTTATAGTACTTTGATTTCACAAATATGTTACCTAAAGTGACTAGTTTATATCACCCTTGCACTTTGAGAAGCCCCAAACTAAGCTCAAAGAGAAATCACAAACCTTGCAAAAAAATTAGACAAATTATTTCTTTCTCCTATATGGTCTACTAGTGTCACTTAACTAAAACTCCACAGTTTCTGTCCTTGAGAAATCTAGAGGCCAAATAAGAGGAGTAGAGTACTGAAGGTCATCCCCTCCATCACCACCCAAGTAGGGGACCAAATATTCATCATAATAGGTACGTGTTTTTGTAATTATGGCAGATGGTGATTGAAGCAAGGGCAATTCAAAAAGGGAGACAAATGAAACCAATAATTTTGAATGTTTGACATTTGTTTTGAAACTACCTTACTACCCTATACCCTTTACCATCTGTCTGCTGTCCCTCCCAACACCAACCTCTGTCTTCCCACAGGGCTGCATTGTCTGCAATTCCTGTTTCTCAGGGGCGGAGCTGTGGGAGGCAGCCATGGGTGCCATAATAGGCACCTGTGGCCAGCACAATAGTCTGTGGGTGCTTGTGGGAGAGACAGATTGATGTATTGTGCATGGGGGAGGAGGGCTGTCACTTGAATCCATGTGAACCCAGGCTTTAGGGGCAAGGGAGATTGACAGCTTTTGTAAGTTGCATTTCTTTTTCAAAGCTTGGCTTTAATAGACAGTAAGTTTGGGGCCCCAGGCTTTCACTCCCATAAGTCTAACAGGGCAATCACGAGCATTCAGCATTTCTTTTTACACCCCCCCGCCCTTGTTATGCATTAAATGATTTCAGTAAAGGAATGTGCAGCATTAATTAGAATTTGTTAGCAGATACCAAGTGGAAAAGTTTCTTCACAATAACTATAGGAGGTGTCATTTGTACAAAGACTTTTTTGTTTTCATTCTCCATTACATTATCACTGCAATATGTAAGGTAGTGATTCTTTTCATTTAAATTAAGTGGAAAGCTACTAAATCCTGTTTTATTCTCCAAAATGAATAAGGTCCTTAACACTTATCTTTTAACTTCTTTCATATCCTAAGATTGATGTTTACTTTTGCTTTCAGTCGTACCCATTTACTGATATGTGTGGTTGTGCATCCTGTTTTGTGTACCATTTAGCATCTACAATTACAGGCAATTCAGTGCTGGCATATAATGATTGTTTCAGTTGAAAATAGCTACTGATAATATTGAAAATTATTGACACACTTGGGGCCCTGTTTGATAATGGTAGAGAAATGCCAAAAATTAGGCTCCTCTAGGTTTGTCACAACTTATTTTCTAAAACTGTTTTTCCCTACTTAACCTTAGTCATGACATAAATTTATGAAAGAATGGTACAGTGGCCAAGGAATATTTTTCTCTTAGAAAACTAATTCCTAAATCATGTCAGTCTTTTTAAACATCAAAAGTCCCCTACTCAAAACACACACAGTATCATTTCCTTACAGCTAGTTAAAATGATCTTGGTTATTTGTTTGTTTGTTTTCTTTTGTTTCTATTTTATATTTTTTTAAATTCCTGACAATTTAGACTTATGTAGGGACAATAGTACTCGCAGATAAGACATCTGGTAATATACTCTTTACCATCTGAAGAACTGATAAAACATTACAAATTTTGGTGTGATATTTCTGATATCTCTCCCATATAAATGATTTTCTCTATGGAAGAAGTTAGAGGCTAATTGAATTAGAATTTTTCCCTTTCAGTTATTTTATTTAAATGTGTTAAGGGCAACAGTGAAAAATATTGATTAAGACTACCATTATTTCTCAGAAAGAACATATTCTCACACAGTTGTCTGCCTTTGTCTATTACAATAATTGGGTGCAATGGCTTTAAAAGTACTGGGGTGATAATAATTAGGGTGTGCAACAAATATTTCAATGGAGGATTCAACATTTCAGCATGCAGGGCATGGAAATTGCTGATCAGGGCTAGTCAGCTCTAAGTACTAATTAACTAATTATTCAGGTGCTGAAACCCCTGAATGGAGAATACCAGCCAGACAACCCAAGCCCATGCAGAAGGCTGTGCTCTTTCAAAGACAGTGCCATCTTTCTTCTTGGTTTTTAACCCAATCAAAAGTGAGAAAAGAAAATAGGATATGGTGTCCTACTCAGTCATTTCAATCCAAGTTTTTAATTAAAGAAGGTAAAATAAAAACATGATAAATAAAAACATGATTTTCTGATAACAACTGTGAGGGCAATTCTCAAGGCTCTGGCAAAGGCAAACTCCTTGGTCATGAACTATTTCAGGGTTGGTATATGGGGAAGTGTGGGGGGGAGAGCCCAGCCTTCTTGGAGTCATATATATATATATGAGAAACGTATTTTCTTTTTGGGCTTAACTTAGGTATTTTGCCTCTTCCCTCCTTTATGTAAATGAGAAGAGTCCAATTACACATATGGAAAAGAGTTTAATGAATCGTGAAAAAGACCAGTTTTCAGAGAAAGGGCACAATTCCTTCTTCCTTTTTCCGTCTCCTTCTCCTTTTACTTTTTCCTTCTTCTTCTTCTTCATCTTCATCTTTCATATTTAACTCAGAAACATGTATTTCTTTTAAGGAAGATGACAAAGGTTAATGATTAGATCATTTTATTTTAGATTCTAATTTTCATATTTAGGAATTATTAAACAAACATATTTTGCTAGAAATTTAAGCTTCCTTTATCTAAATTGTAAGGCTTTCTGGAGACTTAGCAAATATGCTACAACAAAAATTGTGAAATTCTAACTTTTTTTCCTAAATTAAAAACATCAGCTTAACAATAAACACAACCTTCAGACCAACTGAAAAAAAATCATTTAATGTTATTTCCTCACATTTTTTAAGTTATTCTTAACTCAGTAATCACTTTTCTTCTCTTAACACAGTTTAGTCTGGAATTGTCAGCATTAAAAAAGGAATTGCTTCATTACAAGGAGGTTGTTATTGAACCCAAAAAAAGTCTTTAGTATCACATAATGGTTTAGCTTAATTCTGGTATTATTATGATGTTTTAACTAGTTAGAATTTTAAGGGTGTTAGAAGGAAATTAGGTAAGTTTTTTTTTTCTTTCTTCAAAGTACTGAATTTTACACTACAGCGCAAAATCCTGTGATGGAATTGCATTTTCTTATTTTCTTTCCCCTTATCTCTTCATCTTGGGATTTTCAACAGTTGAAAGTAGACCACAGAGAAAGCTCCTTTCTAACATATTATTTTAATGACAAAAAACCTCACAAAAATATTGTAGGAAAAAAATCAATACCATTTCTGAACACGACTCTTAGAATTTGGTAAATGTGCAACTTTCCCAGAAGAGATGCTTTGCTGGACAGCAGGAAAGTTCTAAATCAGGACTGGAAGTGCTTTTCAGAGATCCAATCCAACAATCTCATTTGGCACTTGGAGAAACTGAGGTCCAAGGAGCTGGGCCAGGTGTGGGGTGGATTGGGGGACTGGAGGGAGAGGTTGAGTGATGTGATTTTTTTCCTTTTTCTTCTGCAAAATGCTGCTTTGATCCACAGAAAACACTTTTCTTGGGTCCCTACAGTGTGGAGGGCATTTCTGTGATTCAGATGCCTGCCTACTCACCATGGCCACTCCTTCCACTGTATAACCCCAACCCCCACTCACTCTGGCCTCCTTGAATGGGTGCCCTGGATGTGATCTACACCATAGAGTTGCCCCATAATCCTCTCTGACAACGTAGGATGTAAAATTTGATCAGCTTATTGGATGAAGCTGACAAATCTCAAAATTGTGTGAAAAGGGTGGCCAAGCGGTGGGCAGCGCTGCGTTGATGCCAGCGCTCCAGACCGCCAGTGCTCCAGCATGCCCCCTCTGAGTTCTTGGTGCAGCAGCCACAGTGGAGAGGGGTTGGGCCGAGCTACAGTGGGGCGGCAGCAGGGGTGGCGGTGGCGAGCAGATGCTACTTAGGCTTTGGCAGTAGCGACACTGGTGGCTTAGGGAAGGTCTCAGACAACTGGGTGGGGTGGGGTGGTGTTGGGGGTAACGCCTTAGGAGCAGACCTTGGAGCCTGGCTGGAAGGGGGCATCCAGGCGGTGCCTGTGGCTGCAGAGTTCTCTCTGCTGCATAGCCTAGGGCTGGACCAAGCATGCCGGGGCGGGGTGTGCACTAGGACTGCCTGCAGCACGGGCCAAAACAATTAGTCTCAGGGCCCTTCCGCTGGTGAGAGCACCCAAAGGTGGTGGTGCCCACATAAGGAGGAGCGGAGCTCTAAGCAGGAGGAGGAGGTGGGGTCCTCAGAGAAGGCGGTGAAGTGAAGGTGTAAGGGCAAAAATAGGTGGAGGAGGTAGCGAGCGGCCAGAATGAGGAGAATGGACGAACCCCTGAAGGAAGACGAAGCTGAGGTAGCAGAACACTGGTTCTCTAAGTGGGAGAGTCAATGCCTAGACTCAGCCTAGCAAGAAGAGCAGCTGACTCAGGAGCTGCAAGATGAGAAGGACGAGGAGACAAGGAGGACAAGGAGGTGGCAGGGCCCAAGAGTGAGCAGCAGAAACTCTGGCACCTCTTCCAGGTCTCCACCACCTCCATGGCCCAGCCCTACAAGGGTTCGGGCTGCTCACAGTCAGAACTTTCCATGTGGGACGCTTTCCAGAATGTGGCCATGGCTGTCATCAGCCTCTACAACGAAAGCAGGAATGCCCACCAACAAAGTTTTGACCTGTATGTCCAGGTTGGCTACCAGCGTTGCATCAAAGATATTCTAGATTGGGTGAAGAATGGACGAAGCACTATTCTCCAAGAAGACCTGATAAGCTTTCTGTGTGGTAAAGTGCCCCCCACTCCATTACCATGCACCCCCAAGATGGCCACTGAATCCTACTCATCAGTGTACATCCACTTGCAGACCTTCCAGGAGGCCATAGCCCTGCACGGACTCAGTGGCACCATGGCGAGCATCAGCATGAAATCTGGCACACCCAGCTCCCCACCTCAAACTGGTGGTGTTTGGAACAGTGTCACTAGCCATGGTCAACAAAAAAGTAACATCCTTGAGGACGACTTGAACTCCAGTGACTTGGAAGACCTGGCTCTCTGCCTTGCCATAAGCGCAACCAAATGGTGTAACTGACATTTTGGTCTCCAGACACCATATTGCTTGAAAGATAACAAGACCTTCAACATACTTATTGAAAGGATACTCGAGGCAATCTCTTCTTTCTCCAAAAAAAGAAAAAGGAAAAAAAAAAAAGGTTTCTATGAAGTTTGCTGTAAAGAAACTTTAAAAGTATTCCAGAGCGGCCTTATATAACTCTGACTTTCACAAAACTATAATTCTTTCAGAAAACAACTAGTTTGCAAGAACATTTAAAGCAGCATTGTCCAGAAAGGGTTGGAGCCTTGTTTACTCGTTCTCTGTTATGCTTCTTAGCTCCTAGGACACTGTTGGTGCTCAATAATGTTTGTTGAATGAATAAATGTGACCTTATTTAAAAGTCTTAAAAGGGAAGTACTAACAGGTGTTTACTTGGTTATATGATACTTTTATCCTTTATTGTTTATTTAGTTGTTTGCTTTAACCATTTTAGCCGGTTCAATTACAATTTATTAAAATGTAAAACTGGACATCTTTGTGAAATCTGAAATCTTCCATATTTGCTCCACTATAAAATACACCTAATTTCTAGAAAGAAATAGGTCAAGTAATACCTATTAGACTGAGGGTTTATTTTCTTTAATATAATTTAATTTAATTTTTAAATTAATTAATTTATTTTTGTTACAGATGTTACTCCTTTTACCCCCACAGATTCCCCCCTCCCCTCCACCACAGACTGTCCCCAGCTTTATTGTCCATGACCTTTATTCATGCATGCATGCATATAAGTTCTCTGGTTTATCTTTTCCCCAACACCCCCTCTTCAGGGGATTGTCAATCTGTACACCACTTCCACATCTCTGGGACTACCCCATCCCTCAGACTTTTATGTTCATTATATTCTACAAATAAGTGAGATCATATGATACTTGTCTTTCTCTGTTTGGCTTGTTTTGCTTAAGATAATACTTTCCAGGTCCCTCCATGTCATCTCAAAGGATACGAGATCGTTCTTTCTTACAGCTGCATAGTACTCCATTGTGCATATGTACCACAGCTTTTTTATCCATTCCTCAACTGATGGACATTTGGGCTGTTTCCAGATCTTGGCTATTGTAAATAGTGCTGATACAAACATGGGGGTACATATACTCTTTCTGATTGGTGTTTCAGGCTTCTTAGGGTATATTCCTAGAAGTGGGATCACTGGGTCAAATGGCATTTCAATTTTTAATTTTTTGAGGTAACACCATATTGTTTTCCATAGTGGCTGCACCAGTCTGCATTCCCACCAGCAGTGTACTAGGGTCCCTCGCCAACACTTGTTGTTGGATGATTTGTTGATGGTGGCCATTCTGACAGGTGTGAGGTGATACCTCATTGTTGTTTCAATTTGAATCTCTCTGATGATTAGTGATGTTGAGCATTTCTTCATATGTATCTTAGCCATTTGTATGTCCTGTTTGGAGAGATGTCTATTTAGTTCCTCTGCCCATTTATTAATTTGGTTCTTTGTCTTCCATTTGTTGAGTGGTATGAGCACTCTCTATATATTTGAAATTAACCCCTTATCTGATGTATCATTGGCAATTATGCTCTCAAATACAGTGGGTTGCCTTTCCATTTTGGGGGTTGTATCTTTTGCTCTTCAGAAACTTTTGCGTTTGATGTAGTCCAATGTGTTAATTTTCTCCTTTGTTTCTGTTACCTTAGGTGACATATCAGTGAAAATTCTGCTGAGCATGATGTCTGAAATTTTGTTGCCTACAGTTTCTTCTAGGATATTTATGGACTCATGAGTTACATTTAAGTCTTTTATCCATTTTGAATTTTTTCCTGTGTAGGGTGTAAGTTTATAGTCTAGTTTCATTGTTTTGCATGTAGCGGTCCAATTTTCCCAATACCATTTATTAAAGAGGCTGTCATTACTCCACTGTATGCTCTTGCCACCTTTGTCAAATGTTAATTGAGTATATTACCTTGGGTCCATTTCTGGGTTCTCAGTTCTGTTCCACTGGTCTATATGCCTGTTCTTGTGCTAGTACCAGGCTGTTTTGATTACAGTGGCTTTGTAGTATAATCTGAAACCAATATGGTAGTGTGATCCCTCCAACATTGTTCTTCTTTTACAAGATTGCTGTGGCTATTTGAGATTTTTGGGTTCCATATGAACTTTTGAAGTATTTGTTCTAGTTCTTTGAAGCATGTTTAGGTATTTTGATGGGGATTGCATTGAATCTATAGATTTCTTGGTGTAGTATGAACATTTTAATGATGTTAATTATTCCAATCCATGAACAGGGTATGTGCTTCCAGTTTTTTATATCTTCCTCTATTTCTTTTTTCAATGACCTCTAGTTTTCTGTGAATAGGTTTTTTATTTCTTTGGTTAAGTTTATTCCTAGGTATCTTAATTTTTTTGCCGTGATGGTAAATGGGATTGTTTTTTAGTTTCTCTTTTTGAGAGTTCACCATTGGTGTATAAGAATGCCATCAAGAGAGAATTCAAAAATGGTGGCAGATTGAATGGAAGCTACCCAGACCATCTTCCAGAACCATACTGGAATTACAACTATAACACAGACAAATCGACGGGAAAAAGCAACAGAAAAGCAGCTTGCAAAGACCATATAACCAGGGATACTGACTCGATCCTGGTAGGATTGTGCAGGCAAAAAACGTGGGATGGGAGCCCACAGACAGCAGAGGCCTTAGCTGGGAGCTGCGCCCTTGGGTATAACACACAAACGAATCCACAGCAAAGAGCCGGGACAGAGGCTAAAAGAGCCACAGTCACTCACCTTGGGCTCCAGCAGAGAGAGGGCATACTGGACTGTAACTGCGGGGGGACACTAGGGATTTGGAGGGAACTCAGAGCTTTTGCTGAGTTGCTGCCATGCAGGATGGTGGCCATCTTGCTCCTTAACAGGGCTCAGGGGAGAGGCAGCGGCCCCTCCCTCGGAGATTCAAACCCACACAGTGGCCATTGAAATGCCAATTGAGGATCATTAACAACCAGCATCTGACCCACCCTCGAGAAATCTCCTTATGCTGAGCACCTGAGGGAGTTTTTCAATCAACTGACAACCCAAAACTCTTCAAGTAACCATGACTGCTAGCCTCCAGGCAAAAAGTTAGAGGATAACAGTACCATTCCTGGGCTAGCAACACTAACCAGAAAAGCTAACACTTGACAGTGGTGTTTAATGTGGGTCCTCCCTCTCTCATCTAAACCCAGGAGAGGGAGCCACAAACAGCAGAACACCAACACCCACTCAGAAAATTTGACAGGCTCCAAAGCCCACTATGATAGCCAAAATGGTGAAACACAGAAAGAGAAGCCAAATGAAAGAACAAGAGACCTCCACCAAAGATGAGATCAATGTGGAGCAGTTAGGCAAGTTAACAGAGCTAGAATTCAGAGCCATGATTTTGAAAGCTCAACAGCATGAGTAAGGATATACAGATGCTGAAAATAAACAAATAGGAAATTAAAAACGACCAAGAAGAGATAAAAAGTGACATATCAGAAATTAAAAACATAGGAAGGTCTAAAAAGCAGAGTAGAGAAAGTTGAGGGCCAGATCAGTGAATTAGAAGACAGGGTAGAAAAAAATCAACCAATCAGAAAACCAAAAGGAAAAAAAGATTAAAAAACAGGAAGACAGCTTAAGAGAACTGTGGGACAACTGAAAACGTAATAATATTTGCATCATAAAAGTCCTCAAAGAAGAAGAAAATTAGCAAGGTTTAGAGAATATATTCAAAGAAATAGTGACAGAAAACTTCCTTAATATGGTGAAGAAAGAAAGCATTCAAGTTCAAGAAGCACAGGGAGCCCCAATTAAGAAAAACCCAAACAGGCCCACACCAACACACACAGTAATTAAAATGCCATAAAATTAAAAACAAGGAGAGAATCCAAAAAGCAGCAAGAGATAGGCAACAGGTTACATACAAGGAAAACCCCATAAGGCTCTCAGCTGACTTCTCACAAGAAACACTACAGTCCAGAAGAGAATGGCATGAAGTAATCAAGGTCATGAAAAACAAGGATCAGAATCCAAGACGACTCTACCCAGCAAGGCTATCATTCAAAATAGAAGGTCAAAAAAAGAGCTTCCCAGACAAAAAAAGGCTAAGGGAATACATTAGCACCAAACCACACTGCAAGAAATGCTAAAAGGACTACTGTAATTAGTAGAATAAATAGGAAGGAAAATATTACCACACTAAACAAAAATGGCAATAAACAAGTACATATCAATAATCACCTTAAATATAAATGGACTGAATGCTCCCATAAAAAGACACAGAGTAGCTGATTGAATAAGAAAACATGAGTCATCTATATGTTGTTTACAAGAGACCCATCTAACAACAAAAGACTCTCATAGGTTGAAAGTGAAGGGATGGAAAAAAAATCTTCGCAGCAAATGGAAAGGGAAAAAATGCTGGGGTAGAAATACACATATCTGATAAAATATATTTCAAAATGAAGGCTATAACTAGAGACAAAAAAGGACACTACATAATATTAAAAAAATCTATCCAACAGGAAGATATAACATTGATAAACATATATGCACCCAATATAGGAGCACCAAAATATATTAAAAATCTTCTGGAGGACTTCCAAGGAGAAATCAACAGCAATAGAATCATAGTACTGGATTTCAACACCCCGTTGACAGCACTGCATAAATCCTCTAGACAAAAAATAAGCAAGTAAACAGACACTCTAAATGAAGCAGGAGATAAAATGGATTTCATAGATATCTACAGAGAACTACACCCCAAAACTACAGAATTCACATTCTTCTTAAGTGCACATGGGACATTCTCAAAGATAGTCCACATGATAGAACACACACTAAATCTCTAAAAGTTCAAGAAGATTGAAATCATATCAAGCATCTTCTCAGATCACAATGGCATGAAACTAGAAATCAATTGCAACAAGAACTTGCAAAGACATTTGAACACGTGGAGGCTAAATAACATGTTATTTAACAAAATCTACGTGATGCAGC